ATTAGGACCTAATCGAAATTTCTAGAGCTTTTTGAGTCGAATATCTGCGATAAGGTCCGATATTTTTCACTCGAACGATGCCATAATTCGGAAGTTATGCATTTTTGGGCAAGAGCGTGCACGAAAAACGTTCATTTTTACACTTCCACTTAGAAATAAAAGTTCAAGCTTGTCGCACCCAGTGGCTTCAATGGGGCAAAAATTTCATGTTCCAACTTTGTCTCTTTGTAAGGCAAAACTTGGAAGTGATTACTTGATATGGATTAGAGGTGCCTAATTTTTTAGACACAGTGAAAACGGTTATTTTTCAGCCAATTTTTACCGAGCGGCCAGAAATCAGCATCGCTTGCGATTTCAAGAGACTTTCCCAGATTTTCTGACCCCAGTGTCTTCTACAAGTTTTGAGAATTTCATGTTTCTGTTCGCTTCCCATTAAACGTTTGAAAGTTTTAAGCGTTTGCCTGCATTTGCGTGAAAACGCCCATTGACTCACTTGGATATACAAAATCGCCAAAATTCGAATTTTGCTCAGATTGAATTAAAAATTTCAGCCGTTTTGGGCTCAAGTCGCTTATTTTCAAGTTAAGGATTTTTAAAGAGTTCATGTTTAGTCCCAATCATCCAAAAACATCCAAAAGGGGCAAAATAACTGCCGCCCGCCTAATTTATTGATAACCAATCCGCTTTCGCGTTTGGTAGGCGTTTATTTTTGATAATTTCCAGTCGGCTTCATCAGTTAATTTGCTCGAAAAAGTCTGCTGCGAAGCTCATTAAAATCCAAAAGACCTTTACGATTCGATTAACTGGCAGAAATGGACTTTTGAGCGGCTCCGCGGTGGCTTTTATTCGCGCATCTTATAGAAAATTGTCGTTTCAGGTGGTTAAATCCCGAATGGAATTGCAACGTCAATATTGATCCATTTCCTAAGCAAAATCTGATGCCTGCTTGCTCAAAAATTCCTACCATCTGATTGAAGGCAAGTCAAACCATGAAATTCTTAAAAAAAAAACGGACGAAACTAAAGCAACAAATCTCTGAGAAGAAACTCATACAAATTGTAAGCGAGTGGGATTTTTGGATGATTTTTGACTTGGTAAATGTTGACCTAAAAGCGGAGGTTTTAAATGCGCCTCATGGCCCAAAAAACGTGAACTTCTGGCAACTTGTTAAAGACACTATAACATGGCAACAAGARGTGATTTTTGCCAACTTTGCAATTGCAAAATACCTTTTCCACATAGCTTCCCTTTAAAATCCGTTAGCTTCTACAAACACATTGAAACATTAACCGAATTGCTAATAACTGGCAAGTTTCTAGAAAAAAACCGTCGTTACTGAGGCTGCTCCCCCAGAGACAAGACACTAAGGAACTTTTCCATAATGCATCTTTGGAGACGCAGCCTCTTAAATCGCTTCGCATGCATAACACAACAAGCGACGAGAAATTAATAATAAATCGTAAACAAATTCCTGCATAGAACTGCGACACTCCCAGGGGCACTTTTATTTCGCCTCGTGCTCTGCAGGATCTGAAAAGAAACTTTCATGCTGAAAGCGCGAAGTCAACCAAGTGTAAAAGTCTACGAGCAAAAAAACTCTCGAAGCTGGTATGTTAATAATGGCAGGAGAAAATGATGGAATCGATACCTCAACGTGCATTCCGGCAGGTTTTGGTAACGTTTTGAAACCATTCAATGTTGAATAATGGGGGCTCAAAGCAGTTGTCGAAGCCTTTTGTGACTGGATGCACCTACGCTTAATTAATCGACGTGCCAAGGCAGTGAAAGAGAATATGAGTTGCATCGGAATTTCCCTCTTAATAAATTGAAAATTGCCCTTTATTTTACTAGCTCTTAAGCCAAATGGTTTCCAGTTACAACGCTTTTCTCCCTATCAGCTTTTAACGAACTTCGCTGCAGCACAACAGGCGAAAAGCACGAATTAATCAATTATTTCGTTTGGGAAAATGCCGAGAATTCCATCAAGGATTTGATGAGAAATGAAAAGTTACCAGAAATCCCCAGCCGAACTCACACATATAAGCAAAATCAAACTTTTATGTGGATCATCAAACTTTCATGCGCGGACTTTTTATGTGGGCAATCAACGCGAATTGTTCCTGAATGTTTAAATTTTATGCGACTCCATTTAAGAGCGCCCTTTAACTGAACGCGAAATTTCCAGTTTTGCCAAGAAATGCTCTAACAAGCCATAATTCATGCCAGATGTTACAAGGAGATAGAGATGTGGCTCAACAGACGCATTAAAGGCCCGGAATGTGTTAGGTGGAATGTTAAATGGCTTAAGAGGAGAGTGTGGAAACTGGGGACATAAAGATGATAAATTGAGGCGATCAGTGGGAATAATTTTAAAATTAAACATGCCATTTGAAAAACGAATTTGCCAAGTTTATGCAAAAATTTTGTCAATGACTCAAAACTGATCATTTTCACAGACACGAAAGCAAGCTGGAACATGTAATGTTTGCCCGATTGAAGCCACTGGATGCGACAAGCATGAACTTTTATTCCGATGGGATAAGATTTTAATTGACCCAAGTTTTTGGACTTTCTAAGTGCAAGTGTAAAAATGAACGTTTTTTCGTGCACGCTCTTGCCCAAAAATGCATAACTTCCGAATTATGGCATCGTTCGAGTGAAAAATATCGGACCTTATCGCAGATATTCGACTC